CTACCTTAATATTAGTCTTAGTCCTGGTTAACTTATACTACTTACGGTAAGCCTACTCCGAAACGTCGAAGTAATACGCTAGATCCCTTATTAATTTAGCGACCTTTCGGCGGAGCTCCGAGGGATAGGGCTAGTCTAGGAAATTATCCGGGTCGTCCGGGTCTATCTACGATATCTATAATAGGTCCTAGGCCTATATAAATATAGTACTTATATCCTAATAATCCCCTAATATAGCGGTTATAGCCTATAGAATTATTAGCCTATACCCTTAAGGAAACTTAGCGAAACCTATAGGAATATACGTTAAAGCGCGAGAGGAATACTAGCTATATATAACCGAAGCCTTAGCGTCCTAGACACATTCGATAGAGAAGGGCTAGTCTTTACGGGGATCCTAGTCGATAATCGCGGTACGGATATAGTATATACACTAGAGGATTATTAGGTAGACCGGGTTATCCGTAAGGGAACGAGTCCTAGCGCGGGGTCGTCGAGGTATCGTAGGGGTTTCTAAACTAAATCGAGGGATATTCGTTAGCGAAAAGGCGCGTGGTTATAAGGTCTTAGAAAAGGGGAGAAAGTTAGTAGAGGTATAGAAGAGGAAGGGGAACGAGAAGGAGAGGGGGTCTCTTTATAAACAAAGAAACGCGATATCTTTATTTACCCTATCCCACTAGTTACCCTTTCTACCTATCTACCTCTAATTAGCTACTCCGCTACGTGGTTAGTTACCCCTACGTATTATTTACATCTTCCGTCGCTCGTGGGCGAGCGAGCCCTTAGAGGGGGGATAATTATTATAATATCCTGATATTAAGGTTATTCGCAGACTGATGCCCCAGGCCGCACGAGGCCCGGGCGTTCTGCTAAGAGGGTACCGACCCGGCGGTCAGTCGACAGCTCCTCTCCTCGGTAGCGTATCCAAAGGGCTACCCTGTCGGTAGGCCACGTTAGCTAGTTACATAACCTTTTAGCTCATGCACGCTCATACCGTGGTTACCCCTCTTCTAGTTCCCTGTTTTGTATGAGAGACTGTATATAAATTTGGGACCTTAAGGAGTAGGTTCAGACTCCTCAAGAAACAGTCTTGCCACGAATTTCACTAGGTACTTCCAACCTTACCTGATCAACAGGTTTTCTACCCTATAAGTAGTTATCTTTACACTATAAGGTAAGAAACGTTCACTATTCGTCTATTAATAGCTACTCTAGCTTAAAAAGTTAAACTATCCTTAGTAGGGGATAATAGCTTACGTAAGTCTACCTTCGACACTATCGAACCTAGGATAGAGACTTACCCTAGGTTTATTCTTTTCCCGAATCGTTATCACTTTCTTCCGCGGCCTATAGGAAGTCTTTCTTCTTCGAATCTTTAGGCTAAGACTCCGTTACGGCTACCGTATTCGTGGTACTCTAGTTCTTAGACAGGTAATTTCTAGAGATATAGCTATATTCACGGTACACAAAGTAATAAACTTCCTTTAATAACGTAGCCTTATCCTTATTATCGAGTCGTTTAGAAGCTTTCGGGGTAGGCGAGTTAGGGTTCTAGGTTCGATTTAAAGCGTTCGTACTAGTACGGTTCTTTACGCGGTTAGTAATCTACTAAGAAATTAAGCGGGACGTAATCTAACACTTCTATACGAATTCTTTAAGTATAACGGTGTTCTAGCCTATATCGATTATTACCTAGTTCTAGAGTAAGATAGGAAGCTTTCGGTATAGGTTACGCTTCCGAAGAGCTACGGGCTATTCGGCTTCCTCCGTAAGGTAGGTAAATTTAGCTAGAAAGTCACCGAATTCCTACTTTAGGTCTATTTTAAGAGCGAGGTATTCGTCACGGGTAACTTATTAATAATTAAGGTCGTGGAAAACGCTCTATAAATAATCGAAAACGTTTTAGATAGTCTAATATACGGCGGTAGTATCTTCTTATATATAAGGGCTAATATATCGGAGAGCCTTTCCTTCGTAACGGCTACTTATATATATAAGCTAATAGGTAGTAGTCGGGTAGTAGTCTTTATTTAATAGGAGCTTTCGCTTTATCTCTGTCTTCTAATCTTTAAACTTCACGTCCTTTCTATCACTAAATATAGGAGGGTCTAGTATCTTAGTCGACTTCTTGCTACCGTAGGAGGAGATTAGAGAGGTTTCGCGAATCGCACGGTCGTCTTCGGTAGTTCGTATTATCTTTATTATAGTTAACAGACTATCACGTTCTTTTCGTAGGGACTCGGTCTCGGTTCTTATCCGGGCGTATTCTTCTTCTATCTATTAGTCCTATATAGAGGAGTTCTCTCGCGTAGCTATCTGCTCGCGAAGGTCGGTGATCTCTTCTTGATGGCTAATAGTTAGGTCAGAAATCTAGTTCTTTAGGTCTTCGATGTCTTTTATTCGGTTGTATAGGATCTTCTATGTAGTTTCGGGGTCTTACTAAATCTAGCGGATCAGTTCGTTAACATCGGTTACCTCGATCTTCTTAGCGTCGGGCTGCTTATCGAGGGTCAGGGATCTTCTGCCACCACGGCGGGGGCGTTCGGTCACGTTACTAGCTATCTTGGTGTAACGGTTCTTCGTAGGTTCGTTCGGTTGAGTGGTGTAGTCACTAGGTAGCTAGAAATATACATACATAAGAGCTTGGCATATATTATGTAGATGTCGGATGTACCATTTAGTGATGGGAAGATCTAATTCCTAATTAGGACTAGTATGGATTTATCATGTAGTGTCACGAGCGATTTTGTAGTGCCATGACCTGAACCCAATAAATTTGAGACTATATTAAAAATCAAACAGTCGCAATGTGATATTCAAACCGATATGCTTTTTATTGGAATATACCTTAGACAATAAAATACATTTCGAAATTAAAATATGTCGTCAACATATAAGATTATTCACTGTGTTGGAAAATTCAAAAACATATTGAGATATTGAAATATGATATTGGAATAACCAAATACATTTTGCATCGTGAGACGGTCTAAACATAGAATTGCTTATTCTATGAGCGCCTAACAGAGTTCTATCACATATATCGTCAATTTTAAAATAAACTTCAGCATATCTATGATTAACATATAACTGAGGGTAATAAAATATATTTTATAGCTTAATATAGTTGGAATACGATAGGATATGCGATATGGTCTTATAACAAAAACTGAATTAAATCTAAATAGAAATTCAGAATGCATTTTCGTATCTTAAAATATAATACTCGACACTAAATACAGTCTATATAGTAAGATAGGCTTGCTACTATATTATGTATAATATAATCTCTCTGCTAGTCTGATAGAGTAGTTAGCGGGCACCTATAGGACTTGGTAATGTAGCACCTAATAGAAATTAATTTAGGGGGGTAGGGAGAGGAGGAGGAGAAGAAGAAGAAGAAGAAGAGGAGGAGGAGGAGGATTAAGGGAGAAATTAACGGATATTCCCTATAAGGACTAAGTGTAGAAGAGAGCGCTATATAAAGCTATAGCCTAAGGGCCCTAAGCATTTCTTAGAACGATATCGCTAATTTAGTAATACTAAATAATCTCCTTATTAAGGTTTATACCTAGTACCCTTATCACGAGGTTGTAGGTTATAACCACGAAGGTACTAGCGAGGCTATTGTTACGGACCTCAAAGAGGCGCGGGGGCAAAGACTCACAACCATGGCTAGCGGTGTCCAACCATCGTTGTCCTTTATGTTCGGATCTACCCTGTTTGAGCTAAGCAGAAATTTAACTACTGCTTCCTGCCCTTTATCTTTTGCATCGGGTTCAACTCGGTTTGATTTGGCTATCAATTCGACAACTGCGCCCCACCCTTTGCCCGCAGCCAAGGATAGCGGCGTCCGACCATCATTGTCCTTTATATCCGGATCAGTATGCGGATCGGTACTTTTACTCGAAAGACCTTACAAGGTAGACAACTGGAGTGTCTATTTTGTCTGTCATGTGGATCGTGACTTGTACATCGTACCCGGGGAGAAAATTCTCTCAGCGTGAAAGGAGGTTGCCTCGAGGCTCTCTCACGCGAAATCCTGTCAAAAGCTGTGCTTATATGGTGTAAGGAAGCTGTGATGGAGATACCACCCGGCGCAGAGTGCTGGGAAGAGGAACCCGAAGATTAACGGATTGCCACGCTTGCCCGAGATGATTGAAGCTTTCCGATAAACGAGGTTCCCATTACATGTTGGCTTATGTTCGGCTTTCATACTTTAGCTCACCTCTACATGACCCTACCATCATACCTCCACTTCTTCTTTCGTTTCAGGGCCACAGCGTGCGCAGCGCGGGTTTACCAACCCCTCGGTTGCGCGACGCCGACGTTGACACAGCAAAAACACGGCAAGAAACACACACCCTTCTCCCCGCCAAGCCTCTCCCTCATTAGTGGTTGGTTGAATCCCAGGTCACGTTCCCTTCTTCGTGTTTGGTTGCATGGGTTCGTCTTCGCTCTCCTCTACTACTGCTTGCTCGCGTGCTCTGCAGGATTTATCCTTGTATATTATGTCGTGCAACCCTTGATAGAATTTTGGACCTTCCACGTTCGCTACTCCCTTCTGTGATTTCTATGCTGAAAAGTATATCTCGATTTATCATCCGTGCCCTGAAAGAAATAATTTAGTGGAAGGAAAGACCACTGCACATGATTCGACGGGTGTATTTTGTGAGTGGACAGACCGCTAGAAGACCATACTAATCTGTGGCAAAATTTGTCCAAAATGTTTGCCTGCGTACTTTTCTGGCTCTGCATTTTTGTTTCTGAGCGTGTGGGCCATTATGAAACCAACCCTCGCATCGCATAATTGAGAATATGCTGCGAACATTGCGCTTCTTCGCGATTCTAAACAAAATGCCAAGCAGATGCGAAATTACGTAGATCGGCTTGTCTGGACGACGAAGTAGGAAGCCGGGCTAGTAAGACAGGCAAATTGACAAGAGACAGGTGTGTAAAAAGCGGTGTTTAGTGCTAACTAGTCCCCACGAATTACCAATTCAACTATATTCCTCGTCAATCTGAATAAGGGCAGCCATTCCATCCTTCTCAAACTTCTCCGTATCTGTCACCAGAGTCGCAATCAATGTCGCCGGTTCAGTCTCACTGGCGTTATCACTAATGCGGTGATGGCATCCCGGCGCCTCAAACCAAGACTCGCCCTCAGTGATGACCTTCATCGGGTCATCGTTCATTTTGTTCAGTAGATTACCATTGAGGACAAACGCTCCCACTGAGGCACCGCCGTGTCTGTGTGGAGGGGTTGAACCATTTGGCGGGAACTCGACCCGCAAGGTGACCAGGCTTTTGTTTGGAATGCCGACCAGCCGGTATGAGTAGACAATCTCGAGGGAGGGCCTCGGGCGGCTAAAATTGAGTTAGCTTGGTGGGAGACCAGTTGTTTAGTTCCATATTAAGTCTTACCTAGGGTTGTAGACTGGCTCCAGCATGTTGCAAGTGAACTCAAAAACCAACCAGGGAGTCAGAAAGATGGTACTTGGTATAGCATTGAATCGATGAGGATTCCAGGCCCCAAGATATATTATATCCTCGAGAGGTCCATTTGATTTGAGAAGTATTATAAATTGTGGTGATTGGGCAATCTGCCGTCATTACATGTTTTAGGGGCATAGGCTATCAATACATAGGCTATCTATCAATACATAGGCTATCAATGCATAGGCTAGTGATGTAAACCGGAAATATAATGCCTGTCTGCTCCGGTGCATGAAATTGCAAAGACATAGTGACTCACCAAGAAAGAAAATCTCTAATATTAGTCCTTGCATAGCACCATGTAGAATGTGACCTCAATGCTGCTTTTAGAATTACTTCTATATACCAAACCTTGATATTTAGTTAATTTCCTGACTTGAAGACATGTGTTGTGGTTGTTTCACTGTCATTTAGTTGTAAAATTAGATTTCCTGAATGAACTATAGATGGTGGAGGCGAGGTGCTTGTTTAGTGGCTTAGAACACATCATACAAGGCAACGGAGGAACTCTGAAGGTTACTCGGGTCGGGTTTTCGGGTACCTCACGACGACGGAATCTCGACTTCGTCTTCCGGGTGGTAGTTACTCAGATAGACCTGACAACGTAGTCAATTAAATCAGTTGGTTGGTTTACTTAACCGTTGCAAATTTGGATAAGCAGTAGATCTAAGTTATTTTTGCCTGCGACTTGTACCATCCAAGTAATCGTCAACTTTACTTCAAACAAGACCGTGACTACAGGTGCTTCGACACGAATTCCCCACGGGACATACACAGATTTTAACCCAGTCAGGGATTGCTATTAATTCCCCGGCGCCCTTGGCTTCCAAGGATGGAGTGATAACGTTCGTAGGCATGTTAGGGCTACAAGACAGTCGTCCTGTATTCTGCCGGTCTGAATACCATGAAAGCTACTAAATAATATAGTATTAAACTTCACTCGGTATCTTACCCGCTTGTGATAGCTGCTTTAGTTGTCTAGTGCATAGTGCCGTAATCATTGATAAAGCCTTCTGGAGACTATCATAGCCGTGAAAATCCGGAAATATGGTAAGCGGTTCACTTTGGGCCGTATTTTGACGCACGGGTAGTGTTAAATCAAGACGGCTACCGGACTAGAAAGCACAACCGTGAGCTAACAAACGTATAACCGGTTTCTTGGCGTTTCGGCAACCCGCCCGAAGTTCCGCCTACTAGTACGGAGTATATAAAGCCTCGTCTATGACCATAGTTTTCTTATGGCCAACCAGTGCTCTACAATGTCGAACCCGATTCTGATATTTGCACCTGGCGCGTGGTATCCGCCTACGGCTTTCGATTCGATCATTGATAAGCTGCCGGAGTACCGCTGCCGTACTATTACATTTCCCTCTATCCAATCGGCGACTGAGATTTCAGACCTCCGGCCGGACATTGACGCTGTTCGGTTTACAGTCGATCAAGAGGCAGAAGAAGGTCACGACATAGTTGTCATATTGCATAGTTGGGCGGGTTTACCGGTTTCCAGTGCATTGGGCGGACTGAGCAAATCAGAGCGCCAGGCAAAAGGATACAAGGGTGGCATTGTGAAGCTATTATTTGTTGCGGCATTTGTTCCTATCCTCGGAGAAAGTCTCGTCGGTGCATTTGGTGGAACACCTCCATCCTGGTTTTCAAGGAATGTAAGTTTCATTGCGGTCTACTAAGGATCCATTTTGGCTAGAGGGTATTAATTTTCTAACGAGCTATTTTTTTTTAGGAACCCAACGGTACCGTGACTGCTACTGACCCGCATGGGATATTCTTCCATGATGTACCCGACGGAGCAGAGTGGGCCAAAGCACTTGGGCCTCACGCATGGGCAACAAAGATTGCACCTGCTACTGGAATCGCATATATGACCATTCCCTGTGTTTATCTTGTTTGCAAGAACGATCGCGCGATTCCTTTCGCGATTCAGCAGATGATGATAAATCGGGCGCGGGGTGGAGGAGCCCAATTCGAAACTGAGATAATTGAAACTGGACATACTCCCTGGCTGGTGGCACCAGATCAGTTTGTGGCTTACATCAAAAAACATGCAATGTGAGGGGTGTAATCCAGCATTCCACATTTGGAGCGTGAACGTGTCCCATCACCCTTAGCTATTCTATGAGTTAGATGTTCATTGAGTTAAATAAACACCCTAGGAGAAAAGTCTTTTCGGACATTCATGATGCACGTTCTTATGTAATAGTTTACCATCCGACACGCTCAAGCCGATTGGCCAAGGATATTGTGTATGAATCGCCTAATATCAAAGCGTGGGCGCGAGAGCGTAACCTACAATATCAGCGGTTGCTTGCGCGTTATAAAGGCCGGACTTCGCGTTCTGAACGCACTGCTGCCGGTCGCAAGCTTGACGGATCGCAGGAATCTGCTTTTTGCCGATATATCCACTTCCTTGATTTGATATATCTTCACCCTCTGTGATTGCGGCAGCTGCTAATGTAATTCTGGCAAGTAGCTATCGCGGCGAGACTAACGGACTAATCCGCCCCCAATCGGAGGCTATTGGCTACAACGCTTCTTCCGCCAGGACCTAATGTATGCTACTCTGTGACCAGTTCGGATCGCATCTTACAGACCAATTCGTTAAATACTGCGAAGATCATAGTATTATCCTATTGTTCCTTCCTCCTCATTCAAGCAATCTACTTCAGCCGCTTGAGGGGGGGTGTATTTAGTGCAGATAAGCACTGGCACAGGGAGTGGGTTTACGATGTAATAGTGAGTGACTACGAGAAGCTTACCAAGGATGATTTCGTCGGTGCGATCGCGCAGATTCGGCAGAGGACCTTCAAACCTTCTACGATTAAGCTTGAATTTCAATGAACAGGCCTCTGGCTTATTAACCCTGCTAATTATATCGATTCTCCAGAGGATTTAGGGGAACTAATCTATAATACACCGAGCCCTCTATCATCCGTGGCTAGCTAGGATTCATCAGATGTTAGCACACCAAAGACTACTGAGCCATTGAAAAGGCTAGAAGATTGGCTATAAGATATTATTGATTGTATGCAACAACCATTTCGTCGCCTAATCAAAAAGCTTGTCGAAAGCTGCGACCGATCTCGCGCTCGCGCATCCTGTGGTGGAACTGAAACAGAATAGCGAGAATTCAGAATGTATACGAAAGCAGCGCTACGCGCGGAAAAATCAATCGCGAAAGCTTTCAATCTGACTGAGATAGTCCATCTTAGCCAGGTTGAGCGTATGAAGCGAATCATCAAAAGGGTGACGACCTAGGGGCCCTTTTGAAAGTTGCGACCGTACTACAAGCGCGAGGTCATGCCAGAGTTGAAGACGGTTTGCAAAGCGAAAGGATATTTCATCAAATGATAGGAAAATTTCTATATTAGCCAATTAGAGGGCTTGATTTCGGTAGATTGATTATCTTCTAAATCGTACTGCTTTGGCTCAATAGGAGATGAGACAGGGAAACATAGCCCACAGACAAAACCGGCAACACCACCACCACCACTGATGATGGAGGGTAGGTAGTATTAGTCGTAGGTGATGAACCGAGAGAAATCCTAGGAGAGAAAACAAAGAAACAACCAAAAAAAATATGATATCTGTAACGACTGTCTCGAAGTGTGTATGTAAAGACTGTCTTGAAGTATGTGTGTTCCTCTTTCTGTATGAGGCTTTGCATCATTTTTTTTCGAAAACCGAAAACAAACAGGCCATACAGTAAAAAGATCAGATTAAAATAAAAAAAATGATCAAACATGTAACTATACCAATCCCAACGGCATAGAATCAGAACGGCTGCCACCAATCTATCTCCGCCGAAGCTTCTCTCACATATCTGTCAGCAGTTCCCCCACTACAGTATGTAATATTTTCAAGGGGCAGGTTACTTGATAATACGCGAAAACATGAAGGCATGAGAAATAATCCTATGTGTATGAGGTGATGAAGGTAAGAACGTGAGAGTGGAAGCTATGGAGACACGCATAAGCACATTATCATCAAATTATGGAACTAATAAGCAAAGTGAAATTAATACCTAGACTTTTACTGAATAAGGATCAGACTTGTGTGAGTTCCGCCTTGCCCTTGGGCAACTGCATAGAGTATGATATTTAGGGGCCTATGTGAACCAACTAGATATTTCATTTTGAACTCCTCTCATTCTTTGATTTACAAGGTGACTCAAGCTTGAAAGAGCCAAAACTCACGAGTAAGCTAGCGGAGAATGTGAGCTTCTAAGCCGGCGACTTCTGATACACCATGAACCCAGCAAAGAACCGCGACATCGTTTGGTGGTCATCCACCTCCCCAACCCAACTAACGTGCTGATCAGGGCGGATTATTACACTTGCCCCACGGCTTGGGTCAATACCATAATTTTTGTAAGCTTGCCCATGCCCCTCGTGATAAGACTCCTCATCGCTGTAGATTTTCCAGTAGTCCCATCCCAAGTCATGGTGGTTAGGATGGAATGGCTCGGGTAGATCCAAAAGTTCGATATCTTTCCGTGATCCGGAATGAACTGTCAAAATCTCGATCAGACTGTCGAATGGCTTTCCAGGTGGCGTAAAACATCGGATGAAAGAATTTGGCGCTCCCAAGGCTTCGCCTAGTCTCTCATAACGTTTCATATTGTTGTAGTCGGTCAGCCGTCCAGGAAATACGACGATTCTCCAGCGACCATTGCTCTTCAGCAACTCTTGGAGATGCCATGGTCGGGCATCAGCATGATTTAACACTTTGAAGCTGGGCATGCGCTTGCCGATATCGATCTTCGCTGCCAGCTCTGGTTTGCTAAGCGTCGAGCCCCCAAAATTTCCAAGATCATCATTGGTACTCGTGTCTGCGAGATTGTTTTTCTTCGAAACAAGAATGCTAGCAGCATAGTTGACAGCTGTATAAATAATTTAGACGTCATGATCCAAGCTTTTGGGTCAGGGTCAGGGTCAGGGCGTGATTGGGGGCTTACCAGTGCCGCTTGCAAACTCGTTCCCCTTCTCAAATGCTCTTTTGAACTCTTCCATGTTGACGCCCTCTTCTTCCATGATATCTTTGGTTGGACGGCCAGAAAAGAGTCTTGAAAAGCGATAGTCAAAAGCAATCAGCTGCTGGGCAACGTCTCTCCTTTCGGACTCGTAGGTTGAAAGAATGGTCAGTTTGCTCAAGCCTTTCACCACATGAGCAAGCTTCCAACCTAGATTGTACGCTAATGCGAAAATCAGCATTTGCGACGAGTCTCGGAAGAAAAAACTTACTGTCTTGCATACTAACATTCATACCCTGTCCAGCTTTAGGAGAGTGCGTATGAACAGCATCGCCTGCCAAGAAGACGCGGTTGCGCAGTGAAAAGTGGTTGCCGACACGCTGGCCAATCTGATAGGCAGTCCACCAGTCGCAGTATGTATAATCAAGCTTGTAAGGGTGCAGGATGCGCTGAGCTGCTTTCAGAATAACATCAGGGGTAATCCAGGACCGGTCTGCTTTAGTGCCCTTGCTCTGTTGTCCTGTCACCTGGAGCTGGGTGTATAGCCGGACTAGTTTATTTTCCCGGGGAATGATCATCACACTCCCTGCGTTTTTCGAGTGAATAGCACATCTATGGCGAATATCTGGGAAATTTGTAATAGGAACGATGTCAAGCACGCCCCAAATATAGTCGGTTGAATCACCTTCCAAATGGAACCCAGCTTGTTTACGCACCCACGAATGTGCTCCATCGCAACCCACCAAGAATTTGGCATTGACATGTTCCACTTGGTTGGAGGATTGGCTGGATTTGGACCCCGTCGCCGAAATGAGATCTTCAGTATCATCGGGACTCAAGTTACTGCGAAAGAGTCCGTCCGAGACAGCTGTCGGTTGGCCATCCGGAGATTTTTGGTGCTGCTGTCTTTGCTCAGGTGTGGACTCTTGGTCAGACAGGGTTCGAAGGGTCACTTTTACAGGATAGTCTTCAATATTCTCTGCCTTCGCCTCATCAAAGCCAAAGGATATGGGCAAAATCCCACGTTCGACTCGAATATCGCTATGCTCCTTAATTGAATCGAGAAAAAACCGCTCGATGCGACCTTGGTGGAGTACGACCTGTTGAAAGCGACTGATTCCTGGGATTGTGTCGGGAATACGGTCAGACCGACGAAGGTTACCATTCTCGTCCGGATTCCAGAGGCATATCTCAATCATGTGATTCGATTCCCGCCAGGCGCGGTGGACGAAATCAAAGGAGTCGAAGATTTCCAAAGTACGGCACTGCAGACCATCTGCCTGACCATTGAAAATCTGGACCAGAATCAGCACGTATAATTGGAGGATCGAGATTCGCGCGATGACCTACTTTTGAGCCTCGCTTGTCCACAATGCGTGTTTGGACTCCGCAGCGACTTAGCCAATTAGCTAGCATAAGACCCGCAGGCCCAGCACCGACAATGAGGACATCCACATAAACCTCCTTATTCAAAATATCTCCCGTCATGATTACGTTCTTGATTCAGACAAGGGACTTGTTGGCGTAGGATTGTGGTTTATGGCCTAGGAGCATTTCATAGCACTTCAACGTGCCAGCTAATATATAGGCGGCTGGATAGGCTATCAATTACCCCGAATTGATAGGCTTTCAATTACCTCGACCGGATAGGCTAATAATTACATGAGTCAAATAGGATTACTTCGTTGGTGAAGGTAGAATGGCAACTGCCGAAAATTTTCATATTATCCCTGCGCTCCACCGTCAATTTCCCGGGCTGACCAGCAAGCTGGGAACCAAGCACGAGAAAGGGATTAGCTCTTTCCCTCAATGTTTAATTATTAGGGCGTAAGGTAATGTCCGTGGGCCTGTAAAGGCCTTACTAGTCAACAAATTTCAAAGTAATGTTAGTGTTATTGCATATTTCAAGATTAAGTGCCCGATGGCATCTGTAGGATCGGTTACTATCAAGGCTGGTGAAAGCACGTCATTTACCCAACAGTGCCTCCACCGAATTACAAAGCGTGATACGTCGATCGGTTAAAGGGATCGGAAAAAGGTGGAGGACATTCACTCCATAAATCGGAAGGACAGAAAAGAAGACCCTAGCCCGTCCGGGATCTTTGTAATTAAGATAGGCCTACCTAGCGCTTGTCCATGAGTGCAACTTATCCTCTGATAAATTTGTATAGCCGAGCTTTGCTGTTAGTATTGCCCGGCAATTTCTCTAGGTCACAGTATTACCAATCTGGTGTAGTTCCTACAGGACCGCGATCTCATTTTCAGTGCTGATTCTCGGGGACAAAGCGGGGGATATTAGTCAAAGTATTAGGTTCTAGATGGCTTTTTTAAATCAAGACATAGCTGTATTTACGGGACCGAGCGTTGCTGGAACGGCAAACGTTCGGTCAGGATGCGTTACGCTGTCTTGACGACAATCTACTCAAATTCTCGGTGTGGCCTGAATACCTCTCTTCCCATGATTCTGTCCAGCCATTATCGCGCAATGGAGTGCCTGCCGTTGGAACGTGACCCGGTCGCTCAGGACAAGGGGATATCTCGGGAGTCGAGCCGAAGCTGTTTTTCGACCCGCATGTATCAGGCGACGGCAATGGAGAAAATCGGCGCGACCTCGGGACCAATGCCGTTGATACCCGGAAGGAGGAGTTATGTTTTCGAGAGTTCGAAATTCTGGAGGCTGTAAGAGAGAGAGAGAGATCCAGCTCCCTGTCCACCAATGCCGGAGACATCCATCTGCGGCTGCAAGATGGTGGGAAGACCGTTCTGGAGCAATAGTAGAACAGCTACATGCAATTCCCGTCACCATGCGGCAAATCATTGGTCTGCAGCGTAGTGGGCTTGTTTCAAGCGAGCCCTCAAAACCCTAAATGATCGTTTCTTGAGTGTAGAGTTGAACAAAAGTTTCTGCTTATACTGCCGAATATCATTTCGAGGAGGGGTAAGAGTAACAGCCGAGCGACTATTCTTCAGCTTTTACATCACTAACTTCACCTTCGAACCTTCGAATATAGTGAGTCTAAATCGACGGTGTGCCCACTCTAGCTACAGGACACGAACATGAATCGGCATCTCTTCCTTACAAATATCTGAGTATACGTACATGGGTACCGGACATCGGTGTATCCGCAAACCCAGGCGCAACAGCAACCACATCACCCGAGGATGTAACGAGCAGGTATGCGTTCGCTCTAAACTCGCTACCCAACCTACATGTCTGATTAGAGGGCATAACGGTAAAGTCGGCTGTTTCTTTCCTGCCTTTCCTGATTTACTACTCGAGTCATATACGTTGGGACTGCCGGCCCCTGGCAATCCTTGATCATGTCAAGGTGAATGAACCTGCCCTGCTCTGCTGCGGCAGGAAACGTAAGAATTGCCGAATAGTGAAATATAAGGTGGCCGTTAGGGGTAGAGCGAGGTCCATCCTAGAGACCCACGTTAAATTGTGCAGCAATTTTAACACAAATGTCTTTAAGTACAGGGACACCCCAAAATGAACTAAGAGAAGAAAATCAACAGTTTCAAGAGAATAGTGAACTCAACTACGCTCCCTATCAATTTAATCACGCATTTAATTTACCTAGCGAAATGATATCACCCTACAAGTAGGCTATTGTATCAAGCGGAACGGATAGGCTACCCGGGAGGCCGGTTTGAACAAGCGGCCGACCCTACAGCAATCCACTCGTGATGAAGTATAAATCTTTGTTCCCGCAATTTACAAACAGCTACACTCAAAAATTTCCTTGGATTCCGCACGATCATGGAGCCTATAGACACCTTTAAAATTGTCATTGTTGGCGGCGGCATCGCCGGTCTCACTTTAGCTAACATGCTGGAAAAGTTTGATCTCGACTACGTTCTGCTTGAATCACATGGGACAATTGCCCCAGTCGTCGGCGCAAGCATCGGCTTGTTTCCAAATGGCCTGCGAATACTGGACCAGATCGACTGTTACCAGGCGATTGAGCAGATTTTCGAGGGCGGAATACCCTATAACAGCCAAAACACCCGCGATGAAAATGGGAATTTTATCTCCTCAATAGAAGGGTTTTACACCAAGCTAAAGAAAAGGTCAGTATGTTTATTCGGTCAGCCGACGATCCAGATCCGCTGAGCATGTATCATAGGCATGGATATGGCCTGTTCTTTTTCGACCGCCAGAAGTTGTTGGAAATCCTGTACGATAACCTCCGATACAAACAAAACGTCCTCCTCAACAAGCGTGTAGCTCGGGTCAATCTCGTCGACGGCGGAGTCAACGTCATCTGCGCCGACAACTCCGTTTTTTCTGGCACTATCGTCGTCGGTGCTGATGGTATACATAGCTCCGTTCGGGCCGCCATGACTGAGCTAGCCAACCAGATCGAGCCAGGCTATTTCGACCCCAACGAACTCGAGTCTATCCCATGCCGCTACAAGTGTAGTTTCGGCATCGCTCAGCACGTCCCGGGATGGGTTCGAGGCGAACTGTACCATATTACAGGGAAAGGACGATCGCAGCTTGTCATCTCCGGACCCGACGACAAGGTTTACTGGTTTATGTTTGAGCAGCTTCCCGAGATACAATACGGCAAGGGCATTCCAAAGTTTTCGAAGGAAGATGAGGCGGAGTTTGTCAAGTGTAACTCGGATGTTGCAATTACCCCTCGCATTACATTCAGGCAGGTATACGCCAAACGTCTCTCATCAGCTTTGACGCCCCTCCATGAAGTGGCCTTTAAGAAGTGGTTCTTCAATAGAATCATTACCCTCGGTGACTCAGCGCACAAGGTATTTAAACTAAACTCCTTGTACTCTAATACTGTGCATAATCATTCCAAATGTTGGTCGGTAGCTGATCTTTTTTAGCCTCATCCCATCGGCGGTCAAGGCGGAAACGGCGCTATAGAGTCCTGTGCAGAGCTCGTTAATGCTATATCAAGAACCAAGGCCAGGCGGGGAGGCAACTTAGGCGGCCTAACCGACAAAGACGTCGAGACTCTCTTCACTGAGACACAATCGGCGAGACGCGCGCGCGCCGACCTGATCATCAAGGAAGGCCACGACACTCAGGCGCTCTTTGCCTACGAGAACCTGGCAGTTTCTTCGGTAGTCTTCAAAGTTTTGCAACCGCTCTTTGGGGGGGAGGCTATACTGGACGTGCTGAGCTCGGTCATTGTGGGCTCTTCGAAGATAGAGAGGCTTCCAGTTCCCCATCGACCCCGTGTCATCCCATTCCACGACGAGCTCCCAGAGAAGCCTATCAATACAGAAACTCATAACCGTGTGCGACTTGCATTCCTAGGAGCCATGGGGCTTATCATCTTTATGGGTCTGAAGCCGCTTGCATTGCCCATCCCCGCCCTGGAACTATGGAGTAGTTCACAGGTTAAGCTGAAATGGTTCGGCGACTGCCCCATCAACCAATCTTTCAACCTATTAGTGGGTGTTTTGGCAGTTCCGATAGATAGCGGAGGCTCATCGGCAAATTTCCACCTATGGAACTTCATATTCCAGCTAATATCACCGTTGTTGATATATGCCATTGAAGGATATCGCGCCGGCCATCGAGCAACACCCCTCGCCGTGCCCATCATGTATTCTATAGCCATGCAAGTTCAAGGAATCGGCCGGATCGGGCCTATCTACGCGGCTCTGTCTGCCTTTTTCTCGCACGACACACCCCTTGGTCAAGCTCTGCCGCTCCAGGTTGTCGAATGCCTGATACCGGCAATAACGATAGGGTTCGTCATTCCAACAGTCATGGCACTTGTGCCGAACCCTAACACGATGGCCTGGCACGGATGGAATGGAATTTGGCAGTTTGCGCCGCCCCTGTTCAATGCGCTACTGGCACTCACCTCTTCAGCCCTGAGGAAGTGGAGGGTCCATCGCCAGCCACCATTCCGGACAGATCTAGAACAAGAGCGGGATGCTAGACTTGGCGAACGCGACTTTGTTCCATTACTCAAGACAGTCTACATCTACGCCTTTGCAGTGCAAGCAACCGCACACATTACCTCGGTCACATACGCATGGCACCACCCTAGCATCAACCTTGCTGAGACTTTCTTCGCACTGCCAAACCCCCTCAATCGTGACTGGAATCTGCCAAGTGTGGGGGAAACGATGGCCGCCGTCTTAAGATATGATATGTTCCTCGCCGTCACAGCATTTTTCGGCAGTAATATTTACTCAATATGGAATCTGCGTCGCCTAGGCTATATCAAGACGCGCGAAGCCCTCAATGCTGCCCTAGCGGTTTTAGTGGGCCAGGTTTTTGTTGGATCTGGTGCTACATGGGCCGGGCTGTGGTATTGGCGGGAGGACAAGATTACTGCGCCTCGTCAGACTTTCTGAAGGCTGCAATCCTACCACAAAGATTCGCGACGGTGTATTTTAAAAGGAGTATGCATGTGGAGGTCTTGAATTGTAGACCTACTTTTGCTTGAACCACCTCACTTATGCCCCCTCTATCCTCATAAAATCAAAAGCTGTCTGCAGTAACATGTTGAATCAAAAACGAGCAGGAAACGAATGATAACTGATTCATTACTTTGATAATTAGGACGGAATTTTCATCACCGTGGTAGTCTAATTATATAGCAACTTAGGGAACTGTTAGACAACTTCAATTGAAAAAACAGGGCTTGGAAAGAGGATAAAGAGTAATGAGACGGCCTTGAAAGACAAAGAGTTTTAGACTGCTAGGTAGCGTAAGATACTACTAGGAATACCAGTTTCCTACTAGTCCTAGTACAATGGATTTCTCAAAGCACAGAATGCCCTATGGTGACCCTTCCAAGTACCGTATCGGGTCTGTCAATGGGTAGCACCATACAGTTATATGGCACAGTTTTGATTCACTCTGCTCTAGAGGATTTCACACTATAAGTAGGACCTAACGGTGGAGCACCGGAGCCATGGTAAATGAAAGCCTCTTGAGCTAGTGTATATCCGAAGTCAGTCTTACAAACAGAATATATTTAGTTGACCCGTCTGGCTACCTAGCACCTAACTAGTACTATTTGGAAATACCAGACGATATACCATAACATAGGAAGCCCCTCACTATTCCTATGGCTAACGGAAAGTCCATTTGGGATATGGCCATGGAGGATGGCTAACCACATCCTAGACTTATGAGGCCCCAAGATGTAAGCTGTGCGCTTTCACAACGATCTTTGGCATTCAGCGCCACCGGAGCTCTTCTTATCGGAGCAGATAGATTATGTAGAATCATCGATCTTCCGTTACCGCAGAGAGGATGAACTCAATCAATTCGGTTCCGTTGAGCTTAACTGGTTTAGCCTCATCTAGTGCCCGTCGGTAATCTTTTGGAGGGTAAATCATATCCCGGTTGATAAAGCACTTCACCCGCTTTGCTATATCACCTGTGATTTTTATGTCTCTCTACTAGCCTTCAGAGACAACGGCGCCGTAAGAACCGAGATCTAGATAGTATATATATATAGGCTAGGTGTAAGCTATCATACGCTCACTAAGAACATTAGCTGCGGTATTATAGCCCGACACACGGCTAAGTGGAATTATATGCTAGTAGGATATTATAGTATAGTGGCTATTAGTATCGGACAGAGTAGAGGCTACATCACCGGTGGTAAAAATGTTCGGGGTTAATGGGACACGAAGGTGCTAGTCCACATAAAGGCGACCGAGTCTATCCTTAGATCCGGTAATCTACTATATAAGAGTTATTGCCCTAACCCAGCGGGGTAAATCAAGTCAGGCCCACTGGATTTAGGGTTATCAAGTTAAGTATGGGGGAAAAAAGTGGGGACAGGGCTCACTGGATTTAAACTTCCGATCCCCACTACATTTAGATTTTATTATCGTAGAAATCCTAGATTTTAATATATTATATAGTATAGTCATATTTATGAGCATTTTAAATTTGAAGCCGATCCAAGTAGATTTAAGTATATTATTCGCGGTTCAAAGTTAGCCAGTTTTTGGATAGGGTAACCGTCACCCGCCGACCGTGATACATCAACCACTAACATCACAATAAACTACCCTATAGGGGTTAAGTGATAGGATTTATTTTTCCATTTAAAAATTCAGGGGTAGGTTCCTAGATCCTATAAGAGCTTCCTATTTTATTTTTAACCCTATTAACGCCTATTATGTATATTAGTGAAGTAACGATTCTATAGCGTAGATAATATTTATACGTATATATATATTTCTATATTTAGCATAGACCGTGAATACTAGGCCCACGAATTTTTTTATATTAACACCGAGTTCTAAGTGTTAATTTACTATAAATATTAATATAGTATACGCCGTAGCTAGGTAAAGACCTATTTAATTAGCACCGTTCACCGGATTCCTAGTGTAAGGGTATACAGTAAACTCCCGTTTTCGGCACTCCCAGGTTAGGCACACATTTTTATTAGGCACCAAAATCTGTTGGATGGACCCACTTCTTAGAGTTTTCCCATATATAAGAGGCCAACCGGCACACCTTTTTGTCTGGCACACAAAATTCTCTTCAATTTTTGCTTAGTCATATAAACCGACCAATCAGAATGCAGGATTTTTCCCCTTCCAACCCTTCCACCCCTTCTTCGGTCGCTCTTTCAGCTAAACTAGCTATACCAAAACAACCTAATAAAGGTATATCCGATGCTCAGAAAAAAGCATTACGTATCTATGCATCGGAGACACGCCCTAAACCTACTCAGAGAGAATGCGCTGAGTGGTTTTCATCTCAATTTAATCGTCATATCAACCGTGCGACCGTCTCCAAGATTCTTTCATCCAAATACGAGTACCTTGATACTGGTTTAGCTGGTTAGAACAAACGCCCGTTAGCATCTCGGTGGCCTCTATTAGATAAGGCCCTATATATCTGGCAGCAGCGTCACGAGAATGCCGGTTTTCCTATAACAGGCCCATTGATTCAGAGCAAAGCCGTCGAATATTGGAAGAAAATACCCCAGTATAAAGATCTCGACCCGCCACTTTTCTCTAAAGGGTGGCTATCACGGTTCAAACAGCGCCATTCGATCTGATATTATACCTCCTATGGCGAATCTGCATCGGTTCCGGCTTCGATGTATTCCGACATGGAAGCTATTCGGGCTATCTGCGACCAATATCAGCCAAACGATGTCTATAATATGGATGAAACAGGTCTATTCTGGCGTCGAATGCCAAATGGGGGTCTATCGAGTAAGGGTAGTCCTGGTTATAAAAAAGACAAGACCAGGATTACTCTCGCAGTAACGACTAATGCTACTGGTTCAGATCGAATGCCTCTATGGTTAATAGGCACTGCGAAGATGCCTCGTGCTCTACGAAAACTCAATATCCTAGTACTTGGATATGTCTGGCGATGGAACAAGAACGCATGGATGCGCGGTAATGTTATGCAAGAATGGTTCCGCTCGTTTTATAGGCATATTGGCACATAAAGACGAGTCGTGCTATTGCTCGATAACTTTAGCGCGTATCTCTCTGCGCTTGAACATGCGCCACCGCCGTCTAATATTAAAGTCGTTTTTTTGCCACCAAACGCGACCTCGGTTTACTAGCCATTAGACCAGGGTATCATTAGAAACCTTAAGCACTATTATCGGAAGAAATGGTTGACATGGATGGTTAATATGATAGACCGCGGCGTCGATCCTACGCAGAGAATGAGCCTCTATTACACACTACATTGGATCACCTAGGCTTGGAGACGTGACGTTCTAGATGAGACTATTCAGAAGTGCTTTATCAAGAGCACGCTTATTAGTCCTAGCACTAATGAGATAAATACGTCTCCGTCTGAGGACCTTCAACTAGGTGATTTATACGCAGAGGTGACCGACCGGCTTCCTGGTACAGAGGTTATGGCATTAGATGAATTTCTAGACCCTCCAGGAGAAAACATCGACGTGGAAGAGCCTGATTTATCTGATATTATCGTTCATTTTTCAGAAGAAAATACAGGTGGGGATAATGGGGTTCAGGATAGCGAGGACGACCAGGACGAATATATATTCGGACCACCGCTGGATATCCTCTCGCGTGTTGAAGCTATTGAATATATGCATAAAGCTCTTCAATTTGCCCAGCACCAAGAGGGAATTACTGAGAGAGATCTACGTGATATAGAGAGGATCGCTCATCTTTTTTCTCGATTCGAGATCAATGGGAGGAAGCAGAGAAGGGTGGATGACTACTTTAGACCAAAAACAGACTAGTTCTTACTAGATGAGGTTTAGCGCGATATTAGTGGCACACTTTCATTAGGCACATCGGAATTCTGTTGCACGGAGGCCCGTGCCGAAAACGGGAGTTTACTGTAGTATATCTACGTTGCTATATAGGAATAGGATTATATCTAGGATAAGCCCTAGGTAGAGAGTTAGCCCTACTAGATTAACGAACCGATCCCCGAGTTACTAATTCACGAGGATAGTATATTATATTTATAATATAACGTATATATATACCGTTAGATACGTAGTATAAAGACCTATTAGTTAGAGGAGTATAATTATCGAGTTTAGTAGGGCCGAGGCCGTCCGATATCTACCTAGGCCTAATCTATCTAGGCTAATATTAATCAAAATAGCCGTCCCGTATTATACTAGCGGTTATTTACCTAAGGTCCCGGATCCTATTTTATTCGTGTAGCCCGGCCGACCCCTAACGCCCCGGCTAATAGCCCTATAGCGAATACCGATACCGTTAACTAGTTATTAAAGGCGATACAAGAGTATTAGCGCTAGGATTAGGATACCCACGAAATTATTATCTAGGCTAGTAATTTAGATAAAGCTACGCCGTGATTAAACCGGACCGGTTAGGTACGGTATTTATAAGGTACCCCCCGCTAGGTATTATTTAAGAGTACCTAGCGGCCCGCCGACGATACCGAGGGTCCTGAGCGAGCGATATTAACTATTTAGGAGGGTATAGGGCGATTAGCCACCGTTAGTTAAGATATTACTAAGGTATATAGTTATTTATTACGGATTAACGTTACCCGTACGATAAAGGATAAGAGCCTCTATAAGCTATTATTAGTATATTTAGATATAACCACTATTAAGAAGTATATTTAACTATAGTAGGAGATTATAATATTTTTTGCCCGTATATAGGTATATTTTCCGTTTCGTTAATACAGTGGCCGTTCAAAAGTATTTGGAACACGGTACTTCCGCCCCCGACCGCTCTTTTACACCGCCCACCTACCGCCTACCTATAGTAGCTACACACGAATTCGCGCGCGTGGCCAAAACCAATTTAATCTATCTAGTAGACTAGCCACAATGCGTGGTAAAGAACTAGATATATATACGCGCGAGTGTATATGTGAATTGAAATTCACTCTTAAATGGGGTGCCCGCCGAATTCAGAAGTACCGCTTTCCTGATATCCCTCTATCAACTATCTCATATACCCTGACTATGGAGAGAAAGCGCGTGAATAGTGCGTCTCTCGCGCGTACTGGTACCCCACGTAGGCCTCTGCACGGGACCGGAAAGACCGCACCCAAGACCGCATTAGACCGCACCGCGCGGTCTTTGGTCCCAGACCTTGAGACCGCTGGGCGGTCCTACATTTTTAGGGACCGCACCACTGCGGTTTGGTGCGGTCCTGCGGTCCTGCAAACAAGCAAAACATCTTAGACCCAAGGTATGCATAATTTATGTAGAAGTCGCCTGTATTTTCGAGTATTCTGCTTTCAAATGATATTTAATTTTATATAATTCTGAGGTAGGAGTAAAGAATAATTCTTTGTTTGGTGTCTGTTGATTTCTACCGAAAAAGCGAGGATTGACTGATTTCCTTATGAATAGCTTATGTGGTTCTTGTTTCTATTAAAGATATACAAAATCCTCATCCTGTCTCAAGCGCTTTGGAACACGCCCAGATGAACGCCTCTGAGTAGTCCTCCCTTCTTCTAAGTGGCTATTATCAGGCAGGGGAACCTCATCGTCATCATCGTCAAGTTCAAATAGCTGATCCGGGGTAGCCCTTCTCTTTCCAAGCGCTCGCGCACTAGGAAGTTGGATAGTTTCGGCAGAATCTTCAGTAGTGGATAGGTCTTCCTCGTTATCACTAATTGGATCAAATTGTTCCTCTTTCTTCTGGGCGTCCTTCTGCTCTTTCTTTGCTTGCTTCTCTTGCGTAGAAAGATACTCATCAACTAGGGTAAGCTGCTCTGACTCCACGTCAAATTTTGTTGTACACATAAACAACATCAATTCCTTGATTGTCTGCGGTTTCAGTGAGCCCCGGCGATAATGGCAGATATCACGCGCAGAGTTAAATAACCGCTCAACGCCAGAACCACTGGCTGGTGTTGTAAGGATGTCTCGAGCAAGGCTTGCCAGAATAGGATATTCATTTTGGTGTTCTTTCCAGAAAACGAGAGGGGTTGCTTCGACAGTACCTAGTGAGGGTGGTATAAGAGAAGGAGTATATAAGAAGAGGTATATAGATTAACTTACTACTTCTAAGATACCGTGTAAGCTCATCTGGAGCCGTCACGTTTGACTGAAGAGATACAGTAGGTCTCAGAAGGATATCAATGTCAGAGACGTCTTGAATTGTGGGCTGGAGAGTTGATGTAGACTGTGCCTCTTCGTAGCGCTACCGGTAAGGCTGAATGTAAGCCTCTAGCGACTGCTTATAGCGAGGCCCCCAGTGAGGTTCCCATTCAGATATTGTGAAGAACTCTAGCTTGTTCCGTGGTCCTAGGATAGTCGCAATTGCATAGAGATCACCAGGAATATCATCAGTCTTTCCATAATACTCTGTAAGCTTATCGCGCGCACGGTCAAGCGCGGACTTCATCACTCTCTTCCAACCAACCTTCTTTCGCGCTAGCTGCACTTTCGCCTTATCAATATGTGTGAATAGGGCGTTATAGATACCAAAGACGTTATGGATAGTCACGTCTGTAGTTGCCGAAAGAGACGAAGTGAATTTGAAGAAGGGATAAGTGATTGACAGAAGATAGTCAACTTGTCGCCATTCATCTCTGTCTATCTTTACATCAGCGAGGTTGAATTGGACACAGAAGTCATCAAAGGCAGACTGCAATCGCCGGGCACGCCTGAGCATGAGGAACGTCGAATTCCATCGTGTCCGAACATCTTGTATAGGCATAAGCTTAGGCTCTTTCGTCTGAAGCCTTATGAAGCTCTCGCGGCGCTGGGGACTTTTGTTGATGTAGACTACTACCTTCCGAACCTAGAATATAGTGCGAGTTAGTAAAGAAAGAGAGATAATAGTAAGAGATTAGAGAGAGCTAGACCTTGTTCAGAGTATCCACGATCTTTCTATTCTCTTGCCGAGCTATATGCCCTTTCTCGGTCCATTCAATCTCTTCCCTCTCGTTTCCTGGGTTCGCGTCCATCTGACCAAGGAGCTCCTTCAAACTGAGCTATATAACATATGCAATACATGGTATACGAATAACCGGTATACTACTAGGTAGCTGTAGGGATTCGACGACCTCTTGAAGGCTACCGAGTAATGTTCCGTTATTAGATACGTTATCAGTAGTAATAGTTAACACCCTCTCAGTAATCCGATGCTTCTCAAGAAGGTCAAGCAAGACAGTGCTTAGATAGGCCCCCGTATGTGAGCCCTATAGAGGTTCAAAGCCAAGTAAGAGCTCTCGGTAATTCCACTCTTGGTCAATGAAATAGCCCGTTATTGCCATAAAAGCTTGGCGAAATGGTGAGGTCCAGCAATCTAATGCAATAGAGAGCTTAGCACTATTAGGAAGCTTCTGTAGAAGAGTATACTGGCGTTCTTCCACGATCTCTTGAAGATGACGGCGGACTGTGGTTGCAGTTGGGATTTCGGGGAAGCAGGGAGCAAGCCGGGCCATCTCAAGAAGGGCGCGAAATTCAGGATGCTCAATAAGCTGGAAGGGTAGCCGCGAGGCAGCAATAAAGGTAATTAACCTTTCCATCCAAGCTTGCGGCGTAAATGATGCTTTACGAGACGACAGATATGCCTAGAAGGGGTATTTTATAAGATTAGTAATAATTAGAAAAAGGTAGACTGATTATCCATACCCCGTTCTTGATAGCCTTCCTAATATCTTGCGACTAAGTCGGTCCTCTCCGACAGGCACCTACTTGCGAATAATGCCTATTCATAGTAGATGTTCCCCGGCGCTTATCGGCAGGATAGGCAAGGATATGGTCGCAATTCTTGCATATTACCTTAGGAGACCCATCCTGGATAGTAGCGACCTGGTAGAAGTGGTCCCAACATTCTGCATTGCGTCTACCCTCAAAGATATTCCGTTTCATCTTACTTCCATACTCCGTCTTTAACCACCAGACGATAAAATCCTCATTCGCCATTTCTGTCCAGAGGATATAGTTTTTCCTTTTAGGAGGACCAACGCGTTCGAGTGTTTCTGGGATAACAGGAGGAATCGCCGGTCGGAGTAAGTTCACGTTAGGAGTAGAAGTTAGCGTTTCGCGCCCGTCGAGGTTAAACAGCCCATCAGATGTGAAGAAGGAGAAAGTATCTCGTGGATTATCCTCAAAAGCCGATAAGGGATACTGATCAGAGAACTAAGAGGAGGCCTGACTCTGTAACATTTTGACGAAATGAGTATAGGATAGGACGGGGGAGGTAAAGGACTTAAGGAGATACCTACTAAAATATTTCCGTCTACTAGAAAAAGCTGAATAAAGGATTTTCTCTAGGAGAAAGCTATAGGCATGATTTAGATAGATCAAATTGAATTGTAATAGTGATTAGGCAGTAGGCTCCACTTTACTACAATCCGATAGGATAAGGGCTACGAAGACCGCAGAAGACCGCATAGAACCGCAGGAAAAACCGCGATAGACCGCATAGAGGGCTGCAAAGACCGCAGAAGACCGCATAGACAGCTAGTAGGAAATACTATGATTGACCGCAGAGGACCGCAGAGAACCATGAGGAGGACCGCACAGGACCGAAAAGGACCGCTAGAAGGCCCATATAATAGTATAATCCTCCTTTTCTGTCTAAGTCTACACTTCATATCAGAGAAACCAATTTTGAAAAGAGATTATTATGATATATTAGTAGTAGAATATAGAATTTCAAGATAAATAGTTAACTAGAGAATCTAAGCTCTCTGATAATACCCTTAATACCTATTTTAGCTGTATGTAGGGGGTTATGTACACTCAACGAAGAAGTCTCAGATAAAGATAGGGTCAGGTACTGATATCGAAATATATATTTCTTACCTCATACACCTAGCCAGCAATAATTATTACTAAACCTCTCTATTAGAACTTAGAAATATACTAGTACTGGCAGGTCTAGGTATTTTAAATAGTAGATTTTCTATATACGAGTATATTTCATCTGTTTTCATAGTGGCTGATGCTGAAATACAGTAAATGTTTATGAAGGGACCAAAACAGTGTTTAATAACAGTAATTAAATGGGATGAATCATCAATTTATGTAGCCGAAAAGAGAAGGTCTTGGTAGAATTATGCAATTGCGGTTCACCGTGGTGAAGACCGCAAGGGACCGCGGTTCACTATGGTGCGGTCTCAACCCCCGAATTCGAGACCGCAAGACCGTGCGGTCCGGTCCGCGGTCCTCGACCTAAGGACCAAGACCGCACCATGCAGAGGCCTAACCCCACGTAAGCTTTCTGAAGAGGATAGAGATCGTATTTACGATGCAATCCAATCGAATCCGTCTATCACACGTGAAGATCTACTAAAAGAGGTGGATTATAAGGTTAAAACCTCTTCAATCTGGCGGTTAACGCATGAAATGGGTCTCCGGAAGTGGCGTAAGATGGATAGACCCTATCTTACACCTGAGCACGCGGCAAAGCGCCTCTCTTGGGCCCTTACCTATCGTCACTATACACCAGAAGATTGGAAGCGAGTCTTTTGGTCGGATGAGACTACAATTGAACGAGGGCAGGGTGCGCGAAAGGAGTGGACCTTCGTTCCGCCATGGAAACAGCTTCAGGAACGGTCGCATGGCGTTCAGATGTCTCTTTCGAAGTCAAAACAGATAAAACAGATGTTTTGGGCTTGCTTTGCAGGTTCGCCTCGAAAGACTGGCCTAATTCCACTATACGGAGACCCTAAAGCAGACAAGAAGGGTATCACGAAGGAGGTTATTCACGATCTCTACCAAAGAATCCTACCGACCTTATTAGATAATGAGGACGCGATATTTCAACACGACAACGCACCTACGCATACTGCATTAATTGTACGTGCTTTACTGCGAGAGTTAAATATCACCGTCATGGATTGGCCGCCTTATTCGCCTGACCTAAATCCAATTGAGAACCTCTGGGCGCTGCTGAAGGCAGATATCCTAAAGATTCGGCCAGATCTGCGAGATATGCCTAATAATGAGGAGACTCTAGCTGAATTGGTGGATACTGCTCAATTTGCATGGGAAAACCTGACTATCCGGCACTTTGTTAACCTAGCTGAGACTATGCCTCATCGTGTTGAGGAGGTAATTAGATACGAAGGATGGCATACTAGTTATTGAATCTATTGATTTTGGAGGTTCCGACCGGCAGAAAAGCGGCAGAAAATAAGTGGGGCTTGTACCATGTTCCAAATACTTTTGAACGCTGACTGTATATAATCGGGGGTTTATAATAGTAGTATATATATCGTAGCGTAGTTTAAGACCTAATCCCGCGCTAATCTATTACCACGAGATAGATATTAATTTCCCTAGGTTAAGTATAGTTAGAGATCCCCTAAGTATCGGTATACTAAGCGGTAGTAGTAGTCGTGGGATACCGTATAGCGCTATACCTAGGCCCGTACTAATAGCCCCGATCCTATCGAGGACGATAAACCCGAACTATTCGAAATCCGTCCTATTAAGAACGTATTATTAAATTTTAGCATGGATTTATTACGATAAGAGATCCGGAATAATAAATATAGGTATACTATAATATATACTACGGCCGTGTTAGGATATAGCTAGTTTAGATAGGCGACGCCCGAGAATTTCCTACCCCGTATATCTAGTATAATCAAGATCACGCGGTTTTTTATTTTATATAAGGCGTTATAGTTAGATCCCCGGTTATTAGAGATCCGTCGTAGATTTACCGGGTAATAGGGCCACCGATAGTTCGAGAGTAATATAATCGAGTTTAACGAGATATATATATATAAGGATCCCGACGAGGGATATAAGAGTACCCTAGGGTCCCCTAACCTAGTGCCTAGTTCACCCCTATCTAGTGATAATATATTAGGTTAGTTCACCTAGGAGTAGCGCTAGAACCCTATACGTACGTTCCCTAAGTAGGTAAAATATTTAGTCGATTTATTTATAGTACGTAGCACTAACGGGCCTATCTAGTAGTAGATAGATTTACGTATATACGGCCGGACGGTGTTTATAAATACCCTATCCGAGGGCTATATTAGATAGAAGTCCGGGGATAAGTTATTATATAAGTAGGTCTATTTTAAGATAGGTAATTTCCGGGGATTTATATACGGTTTAGTAGGTCGGATATAGGAGTATTTAGTACACGAGTTAATATTTTATACGTAGAGCGCCCCCCCCCCCCCCCCCCCCGGTTATCCTATAGGATAGTTTATATAACGATACTACCTAGAGTACTAGCGGGTAGAGTTTTATCTAGGATTTACGTACCTAGTGATCTATAGTAAGTGGTTAATATAGCGGGTACGTAACGAGCCTATATTATAGCGTCGGTTTATCTAGTCCGACGGCTAAGGTTTCCGGATATATACTATTAATCGTTTTTTCCGGGTAGTTAGTTAGTTCCGTGAGCGATTAAGTATAGCTATCTATATATATACCGGTTAGCCTAGCTAGGCCCTAGAGTTAATAAGTATCCGCTACCGTAATAGTAAACGGGAACGCTATAATATATTTATTAAGGACGGGATAGTAGTATTTATTAGCCGGTATTATAAAGGGTTTCACGTTAAGAATAACGCTAAGGTGATTTTCCGTTATTTACCGTATAAGATTAGTGAAGTGGTAGTGTAGTATTTATAGTTAGTATTACCGTTTATAGAGTAGATATAGTTATACTAGCGATATTTCCGGGGCGAACCCGCCGCTATAGGCCGTCGGGCTGAATATATATAGTCCCCCGATCCCGACCGGTAGACCGAGTAGAGTAGCGTCCGGTTACGTAAGGTATTAAAACGGGAGACGGCGATTAGATTAGATAGTTAGAAGTTAAATTTATAGGTATATCGGGATATTACTATCGCTATTAGTCGACGGTATTTATGGCGTAGTAGCTAGTTTAAAGCTAATACCGAAGATAAGGGGAATAATATCGACGATAAGATAGGTATAAATAAGGACGGGATAGCGGTATTTATTACCGATTTATAGGCTACGTATTTATCTAGTATCGCCGGGACCTAATATAGACGAATATTAATAGAGAACCCTAACCGTATTACCCGGTACCGGGAGTTATTCCGAGAGGCTAGCTAAGATTAATACTATTTTTTAGGATTTAAGTCTACGTACGTAAGCTAGGTACACTAGGCCGTCGGAGCTAAGCGTAAAAACCTATAGGACTAAGCGGCCGAGGCGTAGATCTAACGCCGGTATTATATATACGAGAGTAATATAGATAAGGCGTTCTAGTATATAATAGGCGGTACCGATATATTATTACGTAGGAACTAAGCGCCCGTATTATAGGCGATTAAGCACGGGGAGAGCCCGATTATAGCCGTTATACCTACGGGTAGTAGGAAGAGTATATTATTTATATTACCTATATAGGTAAGCGGTAGCGCGGGGTTAACGATCGTGGTAGTTCCGTTAATTTTATTATATAGGGATATATAGGCGCGATACTAGTAGTTAGGGATTTTATATACCGTATAGGATCGACGCTGCCCCCCTAATAGTGTATCGATTATATTAATTACCCCTAAGGGTATAGAGAATAAGGAGTTTATAGATTTTATAGCCTAGTAGCGTATATTATAACGGTTAGATCGGATTATAATTAACGAGTACTACGTAGTGTTAAACGAAGAGGCGGAATTCCGGCTATTATTATAGTAGTTAGGTAAGTTACGTTTAGCGGCTACGTAGATAGTGTTATTAATAGCTATATTACCCCTTACGGCGGAGGATATATTATTTAAACGGATAGGATAGCCCTAGGATTAAGTTTTATTATACCGTAGCTATACGAGCCGGTATAATATAGTATATCGCGTTTATACTATCCCGGTAGAAGAAGGATATAATTATCCGTTCTGGTAGATATAGATACCTAGCGTAGTCGAATTTATCTAGGACCGTATACGGCGAGTATACCCTAGGCGAGTAATTATATATAGTACCGTACGAGAGTATATAACGGTATTAGCGGAGCGGTTAGGTTATATAGTATATCACGGGAAGTAAGTAGATAAGGATAGAATATTAGTATCGTTCCGTAGTACGCCCGGAGCCGTTATTACCGCTACTAGTGTATTAGGTATAAGGATCGATATCCCCGATATTCGAAGTATAATCTATATTAGTTAGCCACAGACGATATTAGATTACGCGCAAGAAAGCGAGCGAGCGGGACGTAATAGGTAACTTAGCGAGGCGATTATTATCTAGGCCGAAGGTCGGACGGTAGGGCGTAAAAGCCGTCCGTTTTAGATATAAAATACGCTAGTAAAGGAGTATTAGTGAGTAGTTAAGTATATAGAGGTAGCGGTAATAGGTTACTAGCGGGTTATATTAGATAGTTATTTAGATAGCCCCGTTAGGGGATACTATCGATAATAATATAGGGATATAATAGTGAAGTCCGTGTGTGATAGATACTAGGCGGATTAGTAAGATTAGGAGTCCTAGATAGGATCGGAGTCGCTTATCGCTAAGGATACGGAGATAGTCGATACGGAAAGTATAGGCCTATCGATAGGGTTTAGATAGTTAGGAACCCGAGGCCGTACGAATACGGATTAGGATAGGATAGTTCTATCTATAGTACCGGATATATTATAGGTTATCGGTAATCCGGGATCGATTAGTAGTACTATAGCGAGTAGCGAGAGAGGTAGTTTTATATTATAGGCGCTATAGAGCCTCGTTATCTAATACACGGAGAGGGTAACGGATATAGCGAGCGAAGGTAGGGTACTAGTATAGATCCGATACGAATTCCGATAGTAAGATATCTAGCGGGTATAATTATCCTAGCGGTACGGAGGTAAGGCTAGGAAGCGATTATAGGACGAGGAGTTTTTGATTAGCGAGATCGAGACGTAGGTTAATCGATATTAGATATACGCGTAAGAAGGGTATAATAACGGGTATAAGATATATCGGTATTAGTACGGGGAGGGGGTAAATCGAGAGATAGCGCGGGTAAATAAGGAGTAGATATAAAGGATTCGTCGGTATATTAAGTATAAGGGGTTCACAGTATATTATTAGTATAGATTACCGTAATATATATATAGGCGAGCGGATCCTAAGGTTAAGTAGAGTAAGGGAATAGTGAAGTAGTGTAATAGGTACCGTACGGTATTAATCCCGATAGTAGTAATAATAGTAAATAGGCCCTATACGGATCGTGAGATCCGGGAACGTTAGTTCTAGCGGTTAGCAGAGAACGGGGTAGCTAACGTAGCCTATAACGACGACGGGTTAATTCGATATTTAGGGCGGATAGCGAAGGGTATAGGGCAGAAACGGAGTTAATTAACGGAGGAGTTTATATAGTTACGTCGGGCGTACTAGGGACGGGAGAATAAGTAGGTAGTAGAGATATATATTTAGTAGATATATAAACGAATATAAAGTCGCGAGGAGACGCGTTAGAAGATTTTTTAGTAGGATCGATTCGTGTTATCGGACGGTAGTGGTTTAAGGACGATAGGATATAGGGTATAAATCGGATAGGATATAGGTAAACCTAACTAAAGGTCGTTAAGTAGAGGGGATTAATATAATAGGGATAAACTAGACTAAAGGTCGTTAAGTAGAGGAGATTAATATAATAGGGATAAATAAGGTATATTATACGGAGGTATTTATAAGGTTAAATAGGTTATATCGTGTATATTAAGGGATTAAGCGGAATTAAGTAGGTTATAAGGAATATCGAACGAATATATAGAGTAGTAGGGTAAAAATAAGTTACGGTTATAAGTAATTAATAGGATATTTGTCAACATATGGATATTGTGGGGTCACATGACGAAGGACCCACTCATATAACCCCTCTCTACATCTAGATCTTCTTCTCTATAAGATCTATCGAATTGATCCTCAACGATCTTACATTAAATTGCATACTCGCATTGAATTGCCTACTTAGGCAGGAGACTATCTAACACTCCAATACTCTTTGCTTTCTCATGTGATCTTTTACCATGTTTCCAAGATATAAATACTGCTATGTTTCCTAACTAAATTGAATCAAGTTTATCATCCTTTGTGATCTCTCTTCTAGATCAGTGGTACTCTTCCACAATCGTGGTACTTCTCCTTCATAGAAGTGCGCACGACCGATAGACTCATAACCGTGTATTCAGACACTATATTGAGTATTTACCAATCCTTATGCACACTATCGTCTTGTGTGTATAACCACGACTTTATGGTCACCGCCTAGAGTCCGACAGATATCCTATTTAACTAACCGGTATAGTAAGATCTCGGGGATAATAGTAGTACTACTTTCGATTATACTATACCTATACTAACAGACGATACTATACCTATACTAATAGACGAAATCCTCGGAGATTAACTAATCACACCGCTGCTTAAACCGAAATCGGACGAATCGATAAGATCTAGCGAATCAGAACTAGAGGATATAGTCCCTTTCGTCTTAATTAATAATATAAACTTCGACCCTTCTAGATATAAACCTCTTAATATACTAACTAAGCGCCTACGATTAGATTCCGATTTAACCGACGACGAAAGTGAGAGAAAACGCCCTTACTTATCCCTTATAACCTATTTCTAAGCTTTCTTATCTAATTAACACTAATAACTAAAGATTACGATCTTATTAATTCCTCCGCTACTACCTAGCTACTACTAATTAGCTGGTTATCCTTTTAAAAGCTAATTCCGATAAGCTATATAAATCGAATTTAATAAGCTTCTAGATATATATATATTCGAACCTATTAATAAAGAGCTTATTAGCTATATATACTAATCGAATTATAAAGGTCTAAACTAATCGAATTATCTACGCTACTAGCTTATACTAATAAGACAGGTCTTCATGACAATTTGGGTTTACCAAATGGCTGCCACTTTCGGCGTCACTCAACGCCTTTTTCGGCCGTCATTTGGTAACACGTGACCTTGATCTCCCGACACGTCCCCGTCCGGCTACCACCACGCAGCAACCAGACCCACTCTCAGGCAACCTCGCAATTCAGTTGTCTCTAAGGTCCCATCGTCTTAACGCCCTGTGAGGGCGCCAAAAATGGCCTCACTGCGCCCCATTAAACGGGCCTGGCCTTTGGCCAAGTCACGACGGCGCCAACCTACCTCCCGTGGCCCCCTTTCCTTTATATTCTTCGTTCTTCCACCCTTCCTGCTCCCTCGGTCGTGAGTGTATCTTCCCCCGCCTACAAGGGGCCCTTTCCTTCATATTCTTCGTTCTTCTTTCTTCCGTCTTTCCTGCTCCCTCGACCTTGGGCGTATCTCCTCACAAACCAGTCGCTCGTTCATCTATTAGTGCGCTGCCAGCCGCTTAGCCGTATCGTGGTTTCGTGGCCTCAGTCCCTTCCGCGTCCTCCGCATCTTCGCCGTCCCTTAGTTTCCTCCGATCCCAACGATGAAGCGCTCTCGGCTCCGACGGAATAGAAAGCCGGGAAGTGCCAGTGGCGAGGATGATATAACTGCGACCACTACTAGCGACTCCGACCACCAGGGCGATACTACTTATGAGACGGATCTAACGGAGCCGGACGATGCCTCGAGCTCACGGAAACGTCTCCGGTCGGATGAAGACTGCTCTACCTTGGAGCTAGGGCTCTTCAATGACTTAGGTGAATTCTACGATGATCCACTAGATAATGATAGAGTTAATCTCTCCGAGATCCCTAAGGATTTCGACAAGGCGCCCGGTACGCTTAAACGACGAGATCAGATTAAGGGCCGGTGGAAACGGTTAGTGATAATAGAGATCTACCTTATTTCCGTCTACTAATATAAGCGTAGGTACTATACTAGCCAACGGATAAATAAGCCTAATATATCAAAATAGCGGGAGCCTAAGGAGGCGCTACGCCAGGCGTCGAACAATGACATATATCGGTTCCTAGGGTAGTGTCTCAAGCTCGAGCGTGGCAAGAATAACCGACGGTTAAAGCGTATTAATAAAGCTAGCTCGTTAAATACGGACTAGAAAAACCTCCGCGGCTACTACTAAAAGCTTACCAAGATCAAAATAAACGATGCGGATAGCTTAGATATACGGAGGGTTAGTAATATAAACCTGAATTCTTTTTAGATCTGGTTGATCATCTTCCCTAATAGCTAATTTATAGGGTATAAAGTACTTAGTCTAAGAGTATAGGTTAGATACCTAACCGGGAAAGAAGACGCTAGTTTATATCGAGGATATCGGCCCGTTCAACGAAACTATTTTATCGACGTAGGAGAAGAAGTTTCACCTAGGATTCTAACGCATCTAGGTATGCCTATTTAACTCTCTCGCTCTATTCACTATATACCGGAGGAACGCCTTATTAAGTCTATAGTTTAAGGACCTATTAATCTCCCTTCAGAAGGATCCTCGTGGAGGGCCCCCCATTCCTATAATTAAACTCATAGCCGAGGGAACCAAAAAGTTCCTCGGGTTAACTAAATTGTACGGCGGCCACAATTTCTTTACCTCTCCTTAGCCCTTTCTCTACATAATATCTCCCGAGATTCTTCTCGGAGTTCTTCGGAATATCCAACTAGATCATACAGCTAACTAATCAGCAGGACGACTTTTGCACTTCCCGAAGTGGTCTACGGGCCCTCTTTAGTGATATACCTACATATATTACTTTTCGGCATCCTGTTCCACGCACGCGTATTCCGGAATTCGAGGCTAACCTCGAAAGCCTAGCTACGGAAGCTCTTTATTAGTAAAGGCTATAAGCAGCTCCTAGTGCCCTTAGACCCGAATAAGTCTAATTAGTATATCTTCTATAAGACAGACTTAGTCAAAGGCGTTCCGACTATTCAGAGGACTACACAGATATCTAAGTCCGCGATATCCACTATACTAGTCACCTTTAGGGAGATCCGCGGGTGGAAAGGGGCGTTCTATACCTATCAGTTCCGTTATAGAAGTGGTAAAGTGATTAACGAGAGTGGTAAGTACTACTATAGAGGCCATAAATTCTTCCCTCCCTTCTCTTCCGTTAGTGGCTAATATAGTCTATAGGGTAGATAAGCAAGGAATAACACATGTTGATCATAAAGCACGCTAGCCCCCGGACCTTTCTCAACTATTATCATCCGCTATAACTCGACACCGATATAATCCGGGTTATCTATAGCCTCGACCCGGATATAGAACTAATGCGAGCCGTTACGCGTCAAAGTCGTTAGCGGGACACGCGACGCCTACGCTATTTAACTAATCAACAGAGGGTATAACTTAAGGATTATCCCGAGTTAGAAGAGGCCCGGCGTAATCTTAGCAAGATTCGTGCCCAATACGAGGAGACCTAGCAGCCCGCCCTACTCCCTCGGATCTAGTAACGGGAGAAAGAGGTAAGAAACACGCGAAAACGGTTACAAAGGAGCTTACGGCATCAGATCCGAGAGAATTTTAATAAGGAGTAAGCGTTTCTAGATATCGAGGCGTAACTATCTAGTACCGTGGTCAAGGATAAGAGCGAGGATAAATCATCTTTAGAAGACACCATACACCCCCTTTAGTTATATCTAGTACAGAGTCTTCTATCCTACCCAATCTCTAACTCGTTAGAGGATAAGTGGAATCGGCGCGATACGGGTACTATAGCCGTCGTGCAGTATTATAACGTCCTTAAAGGAGGCCCGTTAAGGGGCCGGCCTAAGCGGAAGGCCTCTGAATCCGCTACGTCGGCTAGTCCCACAAACTAGCCGTAGGATACAGGGCAGACCCAAAATATTGCCGACTCATGTAAGGTACCTATTTCTGTGGCTAGCAAGCCGTCGCGTGCTACTAAGGAATACCTCGAGAAGTCCGAGAAGCCGGAGGCTTACTTCCAATGCTTTGCAAATAAGGGGCTCCCCGACCATGTTCGCTTCCAGATGTATCATGACGCTGGGTGTGTTACACGCCATTTTGACGCTATCCACCTAAAAGAACAGCCACTCGAGTGCAACTGGTGTGAAGTAGCCTTGCTACATCAAATGGCGTTCCAGCGCCATGCTTTTGATGTGCATCATGTACGCAGTCGCAAGCGTTGCTCGAATCCGATACAGGAACTTCAGAGACAAGAACACGCAGGCCAAGATGTGCTACGGTAGTTAAGCGGAGGATTATCCTCTGTATAGATATGGGCGTGCACTGTCTGCCTTGTTAGGGCAGCATTGCAACGCTCTAGTCTAGTCCCACACTGTCACAGCTTGACGTCCAATCGTGCAATGAGCTTGGAATATTGCGATCGCACCATGTCCAATTATTTCCCGGGGCTGAGTCCGTCACTGTTGGTTCTCAGGTATATAAAAGGCCTCCTTCCCCGGAGGGAAAACCGCGGCCGGCCTCAGGACACATCCCAAACTAGCCCAGGCAGATCTATCCTGGGACAGCCCACTTTTTCCCCTCCTTCTTGACCAACCCAGGCAGATTTGTTGCTCCGATAGAATCTATCCCAGGGCAGACCACGATTTCCTCTCCCTTTAAGTTACCACAAGCAAAGTTACTTCTCTCGATCGACCAGATCGCAGGGCCGACCACGCTTTCCCCTCCTTGAAGCTACCACTCAGTCAACCAGATCGCCGACCACGCTTTCCCCTCCATTTAAGCTACCACAAGCAAAGTTGCTTCTTTCGATCGACCAGATCGTAGGACCAGCCACGCTTTCCCCTCCTTTAAAGCTACCACATGCAAGGTTGCTTCCGTTAAGCCCGTCGTAGAGTGGACCACAATCTTCCCTCGTTTCAGGGGACGCTGTGAACTAGAAAATGAGGCTAAAAGCGGCATTCAAGGTATGATGTTAAAATTCGGAAATCTAGATACATTGGAAGGAATATTATTCATCGCAATGGAGAATATTCCAAGAACCTATCAGACAGCATATGTAGTTGCTGCTTTGCCAGCCCACAATGTTCCCTTAACTTGGCTCAATGTCCCAGTAACTTGACTGGTTCCCTTGCGTGGAGCCCAGAATACTCCCCTCACGGTTTCTTGAAAGCGTATATACCATGCCTCGACAGCTCTCACCTTTCCACTCTCACCTGGCTTCCCTTTCCGTGCGCCACTCACGATTTTCTAGATAGCGTGCACTCCATGCGTCCACAGCTCTCACCTCCTGGTGCCCCCTAACCTCCCGGCGCTGTGTGCCGCGAGCTACAGCACGGTTTCTCTAAAAGAGTGGATACCATGCGCCAGTGCCTGCCTCCCGGCACTGTTTACCGGGGGGCACAGCACGGTTTCTCTAACAGCGTGGATACCATGTGCCAGTGCCCGCCTCCTGGTACCCCCTACCTCCCGGCGCTGTCTGCCGGAGGCCACAGCACGGTTTCTCTAAAAGCGTGGATACCATGTGCCAGGGCCTGCCTCCCGGCACTGTTTACCGGGGGGCACAGCACGGTTTCTCTAACAGCGTGGATACCATGCGCCAATACCTGCCTCCTGGCTCTCTTTACCGTGGGCCACTTGGAATGAGCTAGGATAGTCAGCAGATATTTCCAACCCCCTTTTTCAATACTTCCCTTTCCGTGCGCCACTCACGATTTTCTAGATAGCGTGCACTCCATGCGTGCAGCTCTCACCTGGCTTCTACTTCCGTGACTTCACGATTTAGCTCTTTCTAGAAAAAGAAAAGAAAAATAACGGGCACAACGAGTACACTCTTTTAAGAAATCATGAGCAGGCGCGAGAAAGAAGCAGACAGATTACAGCTTTATTCTCTATCGAGGGTGTTCGCCTGAGCTCTATCATGTGACATGATTCAAAGTATAATAGGGCTCATCCAGGAAGCACGAAGCGAGATGCTATAGGTCATCATGGACGAGCTCCCAGTCAGAATAGCGGGAAGGGAAGTGCCTTAGTTTCGCTATCTGATCACTTGATCCATATATATAACATCCCCGAGTAGTGTACAGTAAGCGCGTCAAACTACCTCAAGATCTCGATCCGTTACTAGCGTCGGGGTTGGATAGTATGAATTCTAGAGTCATTAGTGGACTTTCCATCAGAAAGCATCTGCGACATACTAGCTGAGAGCCAAGAAAGTCCCAAAATCCCGAAGCATCCGCCGAAAAAATGTATACTTGGCCCGTCTCACGGAGACGTATTCCCAGACAGACATCTGCATCGCACATGTTGCTATATTCGCTTGCCTTTGTCATCAGAGTTGATTTACGACGACACTGTTTCTGGCGCTTTGCTTTCTTGCTCGGAACAAGTCGACCCGGTCGGGTGTGTGGTGCAGCAGCCATTTCTAAGTAGCCACTGCCACGAATAAAGAGATGCCTCAAGAGTCACTGTTAGACAAGTGAAGGGGAGAGGAAATAAAACAAGGGGGCTAGCTAGCTAAGTAGTCTCGATTTTGCTGCGTATTAGCAGTTTTTTGGTTTTTTATACGTGCACCAGGTCACGGTTTCGCTAACCGTGCTCCAAGGCGAGAGCAGAACACTGCTACGTTGAAAAACCCCATCATTTCGGACTAAAAACTGAACACAGATAAGTTTGTGAAGACTATGTTTAACCAGCAGCTTTTGCCCAGATTTTGCAAGCTCCGTTTTACAACACCTGGATTACTGAAAATAAAGTGCGGTTTCACCGCCCGTTCCCTTCCGTTGGCCGCGTTGGGGTCTCAGTTAAACCATCCGTGCAATGAAACCGAGGGCAAGAAGACTGTGATCAATTGGCGCTCAATTAATTAACGGTCAATTAACTGAGCATCAACTGTCGCAAAAGACCTTGGTTTTCAACCGCCACATGCTGGGTTTCTCAAACTGGGGCTGCAAGCAACTCATTAATATGATGTTTGAATA